TACTGAGGCATTATTATTATACATTTTACGCACTATCTCACTTCTGAATTGCCGAGAGCCTTCAGCCAATCCTATTATCGTGTGTACTTGTCGTAATAAGTGTATTTCACTCAAATCACGGTATAATAAAACAATTATTGAATTCGGTTTTCGCATGATTTATTTCGGCAGATAACACGGCCTTGGTTTTGAAAATATACGATGTATATCATGTTTATCCTCATCCGATAATTATTTATAACTAAAATTCGTCAAATAGAAGATTACGATACAAAGTTTATATATTACGGTTATTAAGAAAATTCACCGTTTGTTTCCTGAGTTATGACTTTTTAAAGGAACATTTTTGATGGCATAAGAAGGGTTCTGATGTTGTCATAGTAACGTCTCGCGTCATATATTTTAATTTCTTTGGCTTTCCTAGTTTACTTGCTGTCATATTATAGCCATATATTTTTTTTTAGTTCACGTATATGAGGCACAAAACACTTTCCAGCCTTAGTTTTATTTGATTGACGGTAGCCAAACCGAAGAGGCGCGAGCGCCGAATCGACTATGTTTGCCTCATAGAAAACGAGAACGAGTAGTCTAATTGTTTTAGCATAATCCTACTAGCTAATATTATAGTATTGAAAACAAAAAATGACATTGAAAACTTTACTGTACAAGGCGACGGTAAACCAGCAGCACTATTTTCATTCATATTTGCTAGCTCGTCTCGAATAACGTAAAAGCTTAAACTCTACTTCTATAGCTTTTTGTCTCTATTATTACTGTCAAAATGTCTCTTTACAATATTTCTTACCTTATCAGTTCTTGGGATCATTTTTTAAAATTAAATGAGAGATAATTCATTTTATACAAATACTTTGTTGTCAAATCATTCAAAGCCGTGCCATGTTTACAAATTGCTTAATGTAACCGGATTCTTGTCAGTATGACTTGCACTTCTTTATTTATTGTTTCGTCTGTTCTTACCGTTTAAAATTCTTTTTTTAGATGTGAATAAGTTGTCTTTTGGACTTTTTCTGTTCTTTGAGGGAATTTTATAAATGCCATCGTTATCTAGGTAGTCAGTTGTTTTAACAGTTTTTCAACTGTTAAAATAGATGTAATAGGCCATTTGCAATATGGCGTCAAATGTACCAGAATTCCATTTGTTTCGTAATTAGCAGCAATTGTTTTACTATTCTTATGGGAAAATTTGAATAAGAAAGGAAATTCGCGGAGCACTTTGGTAGTGGTAGTCAAATGGTGCCATCATGAAAACGTGCTATTAATAGTCACAACGAATTTTTGTATCAATTTCAGCGAAAACTATGTGACCC